TTAACAATAAATTGGTTACGTTTTTTTTTTGCTTTTTTTCCATTTGATTTAATGAAATGTTGTTTTTTACTATGATCAGATACTTGGGGGGACCTACACAGGGTGTTGTGCCGACAGATGCCAACTCCTTACCTTCCACAACTATGCAGGTGATTATGATTTCTTTGATTGCTACGTTCAGTTGAATTTTTTTACCTTTGTTTCTTTTCTGATTTTGGTCTTGTGATTTTGTTCCTGTGCAGCCTCCGCATTTGTTATTTAATCAACCTAGGCCAAAGAGATGTGCAACTCACTGGTATATCGCTAGGAATATCAATTATCATCAGCAATTCACGAAAATGAATTCCTTCTGGCCTGCAGCAGCAGGATCAGCCCCGTTGTACGGGTCCAAGGTCTGCAATCTTTCTGCAGAGCTACAAGGGAGCGTTTTGAGCACAAGCTCAAACTCTGTACCTGAGAAGAGCTCTCAATCTTTACCTAACAGCTCAGATACAGTCCAGAGGAAGCAAATACTACTCCAGCAAGCTCTGTCTCCCGGAGCTGGTAACAACATCTTGGTAAGTTTATTGTGTTTTCTTCTTGCGTTATTTTTATTTCAAGTAATTTTCAGTTTGACTCTGGGGTTTGATCGGTCTTTTATTTGGTTTTGTTTCATTGTAGCATGGCCCGACATTCATTTTCCCATTGGGCCAGCAGCCTCATGCAATTGCTGCCGCTTCTGTCATGCCTCCTAACATCGGTAACACAGTTGCATCATCATCTGGTGCAATGGCTGCTTATGCATCAGCAGCTCCAACAATGAGCTTCAGCTACCCAAATATGCCGACCAATGAAACTCAGCACCTGGCTATATTGCAGAATAATGGGTATCCATTTCCAGTCCCGGCGCATGTTGGCGCACCACCTGCTTATAGAGGAGTTACTGGGCAGCCTATGCCATTCTTTAATGGTTCATTCTATTCTTCTCAAATGGTCCACGCTCCACATCTCCAGCCACAGCAGCAATCTGGTCAGGGGCAACAGACCCATGTTCCCAGCAACCAGAACACAAATGTTTCCACTGGTTCCTCGGCTGCACAAAAGCATCTCCAGAACCAACAACGAAGGCCACCAGTAAATTCACAAGGATTTCCTACTCAGAAAGTTCAGTCTCAGCCTTTGAGCTTTCAGCACAGGCAGCATCCCAGAGAAAACGCAACTCAAAATAGTGAAACTGCAGGAGAAGATAGCCCATCCACTACTGATAGCCGAGCCTCTCGTTCCAATGTTGCATATGGCCAAAACTTTGCTTTGCCGATGCAGCCAGCCAACATAGGTTTGATGGGCCCCTCAGGTGGCGGAGTGGTCGGCACCTCTAACAATCATGGTGAAAGGAAACCAGAACAGCAGGGATCAAAGGTGGGTGCGGAATCTATTCAATCTCAGCCTTACGCAATGACCTTGGCGGCGTTCAATGGAGGTCTGAACATGCCATCTATGGCTCAAAATCATGCTATACTCCATGGCGTTCCCGAAACTGCAAGGCAAGGGTATCATCAAATGATGGCAGCTGCTGTGGCTGCTCAATCAGCCAAACATAAAATGAATAATTGTGGTCCGGAAGATGGAAAATCTGGGTCTAATGCTGCTGCTAATGCCACAGAGGAACGAAAGATAACAGGGGTAAATGGGAAAACGAAAACTGCAGGTGTTGGGGCTTTCTCTGGCAAACAAGATTCGGCTGATGCATCTGCTTCTACGGTAACAGGTGGTGGTATAATTGATAGCTCAGCTCGGTTGCTCAATCTTGGCTCTGCTCAGCCCTGGAGTTCCAATTCTGCACCAACCTCTCACCAGCAGCAACATATGCAGCGGAATCAACCGCAGCAGCAGCAGTATAGCAATTATCTCCAGATGCAACAACAGTATGCAGTTGCTGCTGCTAGAGGAAAAGGGCCAGTGATGAGTAACGGGAGTGGTATCCCGGATCATAATTTTGCCACCGCGCCTTCAGTGGGATCCAATAACCCTAATGCTACTTCAGGATTTCCTCAGAATCTTGTCCAGTCCTGTAGTGGCAGTCCGGCTCAGTCCCCTCAGTGGAAGAACAATTCACCCAGAGCAAACACCATGGCCCAAGCTCAGTCTCCTTCCATGATGTCACCATCTGCTTCATCGTCACTAAAAAACGTACAGCAGAAACAGCAAGGTCGACCCCACCAATCACAGATATCTTTTGCAGCAAACTCTAAAACTCTGCCTTCTAATTCTCCAATGCAGCAAGGAGCGGGTAGTGCTAACCAGGCTCCATCACCCACTACGTCTTCTGTCTCCAAAAACGCCGGAGGAATCCGAAGAACATTGGCCTCAACCTCAACCGTGAACACAGCTGGACATGGTCAGGCTTCCTCCTCTTCTCTGTCTTCATCTCAGCCATCCAAGAACTCACAGTCGGCATCACCTGCAGGTGGAAGGAACAATGGTTCGTCTATTCTTCTTGGAAATCCTCACGTTACTACCACCACCCCAAACCCTACTTCCAAGTCTCAACATCAACAACACCTGCAACAACCTCAGCTTTACTTCTCAAGCCCATATATGCAAGCTCAACATCAGCAGCAGCAGCAGCAACAACAGATGACTATCTCTCCTGCTAGTGGCTATTACATCCAAAGACATCAGCAACAGCAACAACAACAAGCAGGATCATCAACTGCTGCGACATCTGCTACCCTCTCCAGCTGCACCACTGTCACTTCAGATCCGGCAAAAGCCATTAATATGAAAGGTGGAGGGAGCAACAACAACAACTTGCAGAATACACAGACTGCAGGGAGGACGACGCATCCTCAGCAGCAGCAGCTTATTCCTCCAGGTTTTCCATAAGTCCACGCGGGTCAACTGGAACCTGGAGATCATAAGAACAAGCGGGTGAGTGAAGTTTGAGATTTTTTTCTCACGCTTGTTGATTCCTCTAAAGCCCATGGCGCTGAGGAACGGAAGACCTTGGACATAGTGTGAGGTCCCTAAGAAATGGATTAAGTGTTGATCGGTAGATGAAACTGACAGGATCAGAAGAGAAACAAACACCCCCATACTCACTAACCAGTGAGAGAGAGGAGGGAGACCTTACTTACAGGGATGGGTTCTTGGTGTTTCGAGAACTGTATCCAACTAAGTTAGTGTTATATTCTGACAGCAACCCTCAAAACTAGTAGGAGGGAATAGAGAATTCAAGGTTAGCTTAAAGAATTTAATTAATTTCTTATTGGGTTTAGGGTTGTTTTTGATTGAATGAAGAGAAAAGGGTAGCCTAAAGGAAAAGGCAGAATTGTTGCTGTTTGGCATGTAGCTTCTTAGACTTTTTATTCTTTTGAGTAGAAAAGAAATGAACCATTTTTGTGTGAAGATGATGAAGTAAAAGCGTGGGTGTATGCATTTGTATGTATGTAATTTGGATAGTGAGTAAATAAATATGTTTAGGATGTGTTTAGTTTATTTGTGGTGGTGAGTCTTGAAACTCGAAAAGACTTGTTTTCTGCTTTTTGTCAAGTGGTAGTGATTCCTTTTATACATTCACGTGTGTTAAAAACTGTGTTCAGTAGTACTGTAGTAGTACGAGTACGACTGTGCAAAGTTATATATTCTGTTTTTTTTTTTTTCAGTTAGAGAAAAAGGACTAAAAAATAGATTTAGTAGTGGTGACCTTTGGACTAATAAAATAAGAGATCAGTATAAAGTATAAACAGACAGATTAGGAGGTAACGCCAAACTTGCCAAAAATACCTACAAGCTTTTGTTGTCTGGTTGGCACAAGCACAATGTCCTATTCTCTTCTTCGTCATCGATATCTTTTGTCAATTTTCACGAATTTTCAATCTTTTCAATTTTTATTAAAGATTCTATTATTTAAAATAGCAGCTGTATACCATATACGGATTCTTTTTTTTTGTCGTCTAGATTTATTATTAATTGCAAATTATGAGAACTGTTACATAGACGATTCTACAACTGACAATTCCTTCCGACCCTTACTAGATCCACGACAGACTACACTTCCTTCTTCATGATCTTGATGAATACCTTCAATGATCCACGACCTGGCGATACTTCCTTCTCTGCATAGAATCCTGGCGAACGGCTATAATTGTACATCGCTGGAGATCTCCTGCACACTTGCATCCATTAATCTGCAAATTTGTTAATAAATCGCAATATCTGGGACTCGAACCCCAGACCTCTTTGTGTAGAAGCATTAATCAACTCTTAGTCAACCAATAGGCCAAGGGGGCTTCCACACCATATACGGATTCTTATGTCGTTTATATATTGTAGTGATTGTTGTTTGATAAAAAATAGTAATTAAATCTAGGGGGTTTGAATCTATGGGAAACATATTTTGGTTAAACCTTTTTTATATTTAGACTATCAGTATGACAAACAAATTCTGATGTACATAAGATAAATTATAGGGATTTTGAAATATTATTTTGCTGTAGAAACAAACAAATTTATATATTGATAATTAATTCTGCTGTTTCTATATGGTCTCGTTTTGATATCGTGTTTCTAGAAGCCAACTCCTATGGGACCGAGCGTGTTCGGAGTTCCCCTCTTGACTGTTTTTCTCCGCAAACAAAAGAAAGTTACGCAGTGTTGTCGTTACCAAAAAATAATTATATTAAATTACTGCTTTTTCCAAAGAAAAAAGTTTCTTATTGGGTAGTTCAGTTGTTCCAGAAAAATAAGAAATGGTTTTTTTTTCTTTTAAAAACTCCTTGTTTTTTATCATAAACGAGGTTATTTATTTTTTATGAAATCAAATTTTATGTGTATCATAAGAGCACGATATTAGCAATTTTTGTTTCCATGTGAAAGAAAAAGAACAGAGAACTGTAATTTTATGTTATTCGATTTTTTCTTTTCAATAGAGGAATGAGTTACGAAACGAATTGTATTTTACAGTTTATTCTATAAAGTATTTTATTTGTTTGTTGTTCAGTGAAAAATAAAAAAACGAATAACAGGAACTAAGCATAGAACATAATAATAGCTGACACTAGTTTCAATTAAATAACAGTACGAAATTAGCAATTAATGCTTTCTTCTGTTCTCAGTTCTTGTTCCCACATAACCTTCTCTATGGAATCACAGGAACAAAAATAAACCTCCTGCAATCTCATAAATCCCAATTCCTCCTAACTTTTTTCTTTTTCTATACAGAACAGTCCCACAGGAATCAATGTGACAAGATGAGAAGCCATTTTTGTTTGTTGATCCTTCTCAAATCTGGATAGTGTCTGTTTTGATGTTGGAGCATAAGGAAGAAAGATTGTTGGGAATTTAATCAATCTGAATGAGTCAAAGCAGCCATTTCTTTCTCTTGCTTCTTCTTCAAGTGTCTCTGTGCAGTTGCTGTCACAATCTTGACAAAGAAGTTGAGGAGCATGAGCCACACTATCCCGTTCCAGATCGATGCAAATGAAAAATCCCACTTTTTCACCTACCCATGACCAAAAAGAATGCAAATTCAGTTAAACTTTTGTAAAAGCTTGACTTACATAGTGAAATTTTTCATACTTACGAAGCTGAAAATGCGTAAAGTTTATAAAGAATGCACCGGAATAGCGAAAGGGTTTACCTTGATGTGAGATGGAACAGGAGATGGTGCATCAATATACTTTTCTTTCATGGCGTGGAGTTTGGCTGTGAGTCCAGGCAACATAGAAGCCAAACCCGGGACATGGCTAAGTATCCAGATCAGCTCGTTCTCCATCCAGTCGAGCAGTTGGTTATTACAAACGCAGATGATAAATATTGTCTACATTAAGAAAAAAGAATAAAGCACATGAGAAACAAAGTTTAAAAAAAACCATTTGGGTGTTAAAAATGGTATCTATGAGACACGAGGTTCCGAACCTGTATGTGAGTTTTGATGATTGCCTTTCCGATTAAAGTCGCCAGAAAGAATTCCCAAAACGGAATTCCAAATTGTCCACACATTATTCCAGCAAGGTCAAACAAAGGATTTGGAACCTGCAATCAGATAGAAGCAGTGAGTAATGGTAAATCCTAATTTAAATACTAGAAAGCACAAGATATTATATGACACAGTAAATACAGTCATAATCAATTGCTACTGCAGAAGGTAAAGTAAGTTGGAGTTTGCATACTAACCGAAGCAAGAACCAAGACAGTGAAGAAATTCAAGTGCTGTGAATGGGTTAATAACCAACGCTTAATTCGGTTCAGGTAAGTCGCCATAAATCCACTATCCTCAGATGAGGAACCATCTAATTCTTCCATTCCATCCACTGTGCTTCCAGAAATACTAGCTGGAAAAAGAAAAAGGCCAAAACGCAATAAACAACTGAAACCTATTCACACGCATGGACGAATCCGCAAATCAAAGAGAAATATATAGAGAGAGGCAATATACGAACCTGCCCTTGAGATAAAATATGGAGGAAGCTCCCCAAGAGCCGTCCCAATACCCCATAAGATCGCCTCTAGTTGGACTTGTGGCAATATGCTGGTAAGGGGCACACGCGATCCAGCAGCTGATATCATTAAAGGGGGACCGAATTCCGAACAAGATTTATCAAGCCATGAGGGAACCCTTTTCAACTGTATTGTATCATATGGTGCAGATTTTAGATCAACCCGGCCACATAGCGTTGCTTTTAGTGTGAACAAAGCAATGTGTGGACCCAAATAGAGCACGAAAGTGTGCAGACCAGATCCTACAGGAAAAGATAAAAGTAATAAGAATAATGTTTATTGCTTCTAAATGTGAAAAAATAACGCTCTTTGAGTGACTAACCAAGACCAATAGAAGATGCGACACCGAGTGCTATCCACCATAAGCCATATCGGACATACTCTAATACTTCTTCCACATGCTGTAACAATAATAATACACATATGTTAGACCCTTCCTCTTGGCATAATACAATCCGGGAAAGTCTAGATTTGAGTGAAGAAACTGAAAGCGAGTTTTACCTTTCCATGAGGTCCATCAACAGTGACAAGCAAACCACCAGATGCCACTAACAAAGTTGTTATAAGTATAAACCATCCTCCATGAGCCACAAGATACGATATCGATCGCTTGATGTACTGAATAGTAGCCTCAACAAACAACTTCAATGTATTCAAAGGTTGTGTCGTCAATGTTAGATTCTCTACTTCCTTCTCATGCTTCTCACGCAGAGCTGCAAGTTCAACACAGACTACATTAATCCCTACAATGTGAATCTCTTATAGATTATCTACAATTCAGAGAAAAGGTTAAGCCTTTCTCCTCCATCAACCTCGGCTATAAGATTGATGACTAATCCAAGATCACTAATCTACAAAAAAAGTATAAATCTATTCAAAATCCTTATTGATTCTACACTAAACAAATCAAAAGCCATGATTCAGATCTCGAAACCATAATCCAATTCTTAATTTGTATCCCTAATCGGAACGAATTGAGATAAAATCTAATGAAACAATTGAACAAAGGTCAAAATCGAAAACCTAAAAAAGAAGAAACTTGCCTGAGATCGCAACATCAGAAGAAGAGCTCGCAACCGCAGCCGATCCCATCTCTGTGTGTAAACCTAATTGCGTCACCAACGACTAAATAACTATATATCTTCAACGGAATAAAGAAGGGATTTTTAACATAGATTCCAATGTTTCCAAGGATATTAGAACATGGGTTTGGTCGAATTCGAGATGGGTAATAGATAAATAGATTGCTTGGAAACAAAAAAATGATTGATTTTTCGATTTTATCAATGTTTTTTTTTATTTGTTGTAACGTGACGTGTGGGCTTTGGTTGAGATAAAACAACAGAACACAGATGAGAGATCTGGTCTTTGTAGAAGACAGAAGAGATATGTAAGGAAATCAGAGAATGGAAAGAAGACGCAAACGGAAAGTTAACAGAGCTCAGGAAAAACCTCTTATTCGTCTAGAGTCATTGATTAGTTCACTCACTGGGCTATTAAAAGCCCATTATTACGGTCTTCCACTCTTCCTAAAATTTTGCATGGTTTTGGTTAGATCGGTTGAACCGGACATCCGCAAAATAAGCGAATTAAAATTTGGAAAATTTGGATGTATAACCAACAAAAAAATATAAATTAAGAAACTAACCATAAAAAAAAACTTACAGTATAACATATGTGTAATATATATTATTACAATTTTGTCCTCACCACTAACCACCACCAATGGCCACCACCGCCGCTGTCGCCGGAGCTACCGCCGCTGTCGCCTGAGGCACCGCCGCTGTCGCCGGAGCCACCGCCGCTGTCGCCTGAGCCACCGCCGTCGCCGGAGCCACCGCCGCTGTCGCCGGAGCCACCGCCGTCGCCGGAACTACCGCCGTCGCCGGAGCCACCGCCGTCGCCGGAGCCACCGCCGTCGCCGGAGCCACCGCCGTCGCCGGAACCACTGCCGTCGCCGGAGCCACCGCCGTCGCCGGAACCACCACCACCACCTTTGGTAATTAGTTAGTGAATTAATACATATATAGTGCTATATTCTTAATTTTTTTTGAAAATGTGTTATTCTTGCAAATCACTCTTAAAATTTCACTATAAACCGTGATTTTCACTCAACGAAAAACCAAATTACAGCGGTAAACTAAATAATAATCCGTCCTAGATTAGGAGGATCCTTCAATGTGCCAGTTTGAATTTTTTTCACGATAACATTAAATTTAACAAAAATTTAAATTAAAATTTGTTGTTGTGAGGAAAAAATTGGAGTATATTTTTACAATACAAGTTTTTTTTAGGATTAGTAATTATTGTATAATTGTTTTTAGAAACAATATCAGTTTATGAAAATATTCATAATAATCTAATTTCCTTTCAGTTTTAGTAGAGAACAAAACATTTTTTTTATCCAACCATATATTTATCATTTTTTGTATGTATATTTTTTTTTACACGTAATAAAATCTCTCATCGATGGACTTAACACGTATCAAGAGCATTTTAATTATTCACTTTGGGAAACCAAATTTTATATAACAAAATTAGAAGAAGAAAAACTCTTAAAATCATACCAAATATATATAGAAAAACAATTGGTTTATACGTAAAGAGCTATGCCAGGGTTTAAACGACTACTCACAATTCTCACCCTGATCTGGGAAAATCTTGTCCGCAACGGAGTCTGGTCGATAAGACAAGAGTACCTGATAGCCGAAACTTCTTAAGGTCTTGAGATCTTCCACGAAAAATTGGTCTCCTGAAATCACAACGACAGCTGCATGAACTAGATTCAAGTATATTTTTTTTTTGCTAACAATGTAAATATTTCATAAATATGAAAAAAAAAATTAGGTTTATGATGGTCCCATGGCAAAAAAAGCTAAAAACATAAGCATATAATTCATAGACATGATCTCAGTCCGTTCACTCGACATTGACACGAGGCGAATGGAGTTGAAAGAAGTGATAACGATATTGGTGTTCTTCCCAAGTGGTAAGCTGGAGGCAAAGGGCGGGTACAGTTTGCAGAAGCCAAATTCCCCAAGCAAAAGACGCACTAGAAGCCTTTCAAAAGAGGCCTTAGACTAAGCCGTCAACGACGAAGTTTACAAAGCCCTCGATCATATACGTCTTCTGCGTCGTGTGAGAGCGGCTCATCTAACGACTTCCATGAGCTTTCTTAGAATGGAATCTCACGAACTAAATTATGCAAACGGTGCGAGCTCCCCCTACCAAATCCATTCCCTAGAATCAGCTAGTACAGAGCTAAATAAATATCTTTACACCACACCAAAAGCCAATAGGCTTACTAGCTCCTCTAGCGCAAACAACAAACAAAACAATAGGCAAAACCTCATTGTGAGGGAAACCTCAACTCACAACACATGCAGTAACAAGACACAACCAATATCAGGCCAAAAAGCAAACAATAAAATAGGATAAACCTGTGATTCTAACGAAATGGAGATGAAACAGAGAGCCACCACCACCAGCTAAAACATCACCAAAGCAGCAACACTGGAGCTATGGAAGCATTGCCAAGAAAATCTATCTGAAAGAGAGAAGCTCATAGTTAGTACCCTTATTATAAAAAAAAAAATGAACCCATAATTTAAAAGCCCCTTGAGCTAGTAAACCCAATTAGAAAATCACGTGCTTTATCGAAAACAATATATGAATTGATAACTTTGTTAATAATACTTGAACCATACTTAGGTTTACCTCTGGGGTGAACCTTTAAATTCACCCAACAGATTATAGCTAATTGTTTTGCCATATCATTATTAATACTAGAGAATTAAGAAAAAAGAAACACCATTAAAAAAAAAGGAAATCACAACATAGATTTATGGTTTAAGGTTTACGGTTTAGGGTTTAGGCTTCAGATTTTACAATTAACACGAAATTAGATGCCGCTTTGGGTTGCCAAATGAATGGTTAGGGGATACATTTTATAATTAAAACTAAATTAGATATCGG